AGAAACAAAAAAAAGCCCTCTGAGATATAAATGCATACAGAAAAAAAAATTTCTCATCAACAATAAATCACGGCAGTAGTTCAAATATTTTCAGATTGATTGACTGACTTCTCTATGTCTATAGAGTTGTTTTTCTTTTACTTCATAAGAAAGGTACCAAAACAAAACACAGTTCTATGATTATCCATTAGTTAGAGCGTGAGTGAATTTCAGTTTGATTATGATAAGTTATTATAAAGAAAAGCCTCTTAGTTTGATAGATGTGAAAGAAATTTTTTGTTTTTAACTAAATTTAAATTCGTACAATGAGTAAAGATATGAGACAAATATTCTCAATAAGATCAATCTATGTGAGCATTTGTTTTCTTTTCATCTCAATGATTCACTTTTATAAAATAATATTACTGAAATTATACTCTTCAATATTTTATGTGGCGTTTTATTTTTCGATGTTTTTTTCGAATTATTTTTTTAATACATATTAAACACATACGATATAAACTTCTGTGTATGTCTTTCTTTTTCTTTTTGAGATATATATCAAAGAAAAAACAAAGCTCTATAAGAAACTTCTTTGCGTTTTTAAAGCTATAGTCGATTTTATCTAACAACACTTAATATACCGTCATTTGTTCATATACATCACGATATTGTTTAGATATAATATCAAATATTGTTTCTTGCTAAAGATTTGCCATTTCATCTCTGATATGGAATGTCGATAAAGTCTACTGTAGGAAAGTTCTCTCATAGGATTCTACTATGTTGAACGGAAAGTTCGCGGTCACTTGCAAAAGTTTTAATTCTTTAAGTTTACTTTTAAAGTTTTTTGTGTTTCAGTTTTCAAACTTGTGTATCTCTTGTGTGCCATCTATTTGTTAGGCAGTGACACCTAGGGTTCACTACCTCCTTCCCTTTTCCACAGATATCAGATCTCGATTGGTCACTGAGAAAGACCAAGTGGGTCTTTCCTCTCGTTTTTCGTCCTCTCTTCAATGGGTGGAAGAATAAAGTAGAGAGAAGTTAGCCTGCGAGCTAATACTATTCTTGTGTGAGTTTGTTAATTTCATTTTTATCATTTGAACGTAGATGAACAATTTCGAAATTCGTGTTTTGCTCCGCCATTATTGGAAGAAGGGTCTGTCTGCAAGAGCTGCTGCTGTCGAAATCTGCGAAGTGGAAGGTGAGGGAACAATAGGAAAAACTGCCGCAATAAAATGGTTCAAGCGATTCGACGATGGTGATTTTGACTTCGAAGACAAGCCTCGTTCTGGTCGACCAGCTCTTCTAGACGAAGAGGACTTGCGTGCCGCTTTGGAAGACGAGCCGTCATCGAGTACTCGCGATCTGGCCGATGAATTTGGAGTCTGCCAGACAACCATTGTCGATTCCCTGCACAAGTTTGGTTTTGTCCACAAGAAGCCACGACAAGATCCTCACGAACTCACTGAAGCAGAAGCTATGCGACGTGTTGAAGTTTGCCGTCAACTGCTCGACAATCCGTTGGACGATCGGTTTTGGAAGCGCATTGTGACATGCGATGAAAAGTGGGTTTTCTTGGTCAATCATGATCGTTCTAGACGCTGGGTTCCACGAGATCAAAGTCCATCACCAGTTGTTCGTCAAGATCATTTCGGCAAGAAAGTCATGTTGTGCGTCTGGTGGAATGTTGATGGGGTTGTGCATTTTGAACTGATTCCTGATGGTCGAGCCGTGAATGCAGAGCTGTACACTGAGCAATTGGAACGCGTTTACAACGTCTTGAAACAGCGCTACCCGACACTGATCCACCAGAAACGTGCCCTTCTCCAACACGACAATGCCTCAGCACATCGTGCCAATTTGACGAAGGAGAAGCTTGATGAACTCGATGGTATAGAGGTTCTACCGCATCCGGCTTACAGTCCTGATCTTGCTCCTTCTGATTATGGCTTGTTTCGTTCAATGGTGCACTTTTTTCGAGGACAACGATTTGAAACTTTTGATCAAGTCGAAGCAGCATGCCATGAATTCTTTGAGTCCAAGGAGCCGCAATGGTATCGAGATCAGATTCAACAACTTGCAGAACGCTGGCGTAAGGTCATTGAGAATGATGGGTTGTATTTTGAAGTATAACTGTTATTGGTTCTGAATAAACTTACTCAAAAAAAGAATTTTTTTGCAAGTGACCGCGAACTTTCCGTTCAACATAGTAGATATTTAGAGAGTGATGAATAGATCTATTGATAATTTATTGAATTTAGTAGGAAAACCGCAGTGTAGAGTGCTTTTCTTTTCGAAATGAAAAAGTGGGTTTGCACGAAACTTGATTTATACGAAATCTTAAAGGACTTCCACTTAATTCCGAAAATCAGAACTCTTTTGAGGTTTCGTATAATATCTTTTCTTTTCAATACAGTTTTTGCAAGGGGAAAAGGCAGATTTTAGCATTCAAAATCTCTAAAAATATTTTGAAATCTTTCAAGATCGCTTAAAATCGTAAAAGTAGAGGCGGATAGTGGTAGATAGTTATTGGTAACGGTATCTTTAGGACTACAAATGCTACAGTAATAAGTATCCTTGAATTTTGAAGTCCTACTCTCGATAAACTTCACCTTCTTCATAAATAGGATTATTCAATCATTCCGTAGACATAAATACAATAAAAACTAAATAATTTTTGTGCTCATCCGGAACTAGGAAATATCAACCGACAAAGGAGAAACGAAAAGTCCATGCAAGTAAAGTTTGCTTCACCACTATTACCATCTCGCATACACATGAGCTAAAACTATTAGCATGTTCGTCAACCAGCTGTTTGACCACAACCGATGAAATAAAATACAGCTTTCTATAATAGCAGAATCGAGCGGCATTACAATGTTCGGGTAGGTAAATACTGTTCTCCTATGCAACACTACAATCTCATTTTTAACAAAACAACGAAAACTATAATACGTCAAATCCTTTACTTCCGAGTGATAAACGAAATCGGGTTTCTCCTACGAGTTAAACTTTCAAATCGATGACACAAAAATTTCTGACTGATACCCCGCCAATTGGGGTGCCTGTCTCTTTGATTGGCAAAGTCGATTGTAAAGTTCTGAGATGCTGAAGCTAAACTCTGCTACCCAAGGCCAATTGAAATTTATCAGCCTTTATAAAAATTTCGTTATTTTTTCAAGAAACTATCTCTACGATGCATCATGCTACACTAACAGTAACTTTTATCGGGCACATACTAGTAGAAGCAAATGTTAGGTTGCACCACTGCTCTCCGTCTGATAGCGTTTCAGAAACAATTGGCACAAAATTCGATAGCACCTCGGTAAAGTTAACTTCTTCTGTCAAGTGGCACTAAAAAACTATTTGGTAATCTTTCAGAAACAACTTCAAAGATTTCATGAACTCGTAGATGAGAATCCATGAAGCCCTACAAATATTCACTCAGACCGTCGGTCATGATTAAGCGTCTCCTCTATGTTTTAGCACATGTGGAATGAAAGGTACTACGTGAGTAGGGAAAGTCCGGCGGACCTAATAGTTACAGTGTCCTTACCGTTACTCTAGAACGAGAAAATTGTCTCGTTACCAGCTAACTAATTAGTAACAGTATGATCAGATCTCTTGTACACTCTAGTATACGACTAGAGGATCTCAGGGTATCGTCTTGTTTCGATCATGAGGATCTAAGAATACTGTTCATAAAAATGCTTAAAGATCCAAGTGTACCCCCTATAATAGTATCTGAAAACCCAAGGACACTCTTCTTCCCTCCCTATTATAGAACTTAAGGACCTACAGGTACCAACTTACTAAAGTACCGTAGGGCCCAAGGGTACCCACTTACTGTAGAACTTGAGGAACATGGTTACCCTTTATAGTACGACTTGAAGATCCTAAAGTATCCCCTATAAAACGACTTGAGGATCCAATAGCACTTTCCTTTAGCAGTTCTTGAGTATCAAAAGATACCCCTAGTATGAAACTTGGAGACCCAAGAGTATTTCTGACAGTAGAACTTGAGAACAGACGCGTATCCTTCTATAATAGGACTTCAGGACCTCTGTGTACCCTCATATAGTAGAACTTGTGACCTCAACGATATCGCCACCGGGTAATCAATAACAGTAACTTCCCATTCCTATTTTAGTTACGTGTGATTAAATATAATAACCCATTTTCTTTAAATCTTCAAACATTTTTAAGTCTTAAAATCTGCTTTTTGCCCTAGCAAATCAGACATATTTACAAAAATTTAAGGGAAGAAAAAAACAAATAAAGTGTGAGACTAAATGTTTATGAATACAAATAAAGAGGTAAGTATCGTTATACGAATTTGAACATAGAAAAAAAAACAACTGGGTATAGAAGTGTTGGCTTAGGCAGAGGAATTAAATATTAGATATACCTCTTTGGTTAGAGCGTGGAGTTCAATAGAAGTTATTCCTACATAGATTCACGTGAACATCTAATAATTCTCATAACTGTTTCTTTTTTTCGGTTTTTTTTCTTCACTAGTTTTAAAAAATACATTCAGTCATAAAGTTCTCAAGGATAAGGAGAAATAATTGAACATTACACGAACTTTGCTAAAATTTTACAACAAAAAGAAAAACATTTCTATTTAGCGAAAGTCAATTATTGCATAAGGATATGAGATTCGCTAGCTCTAAACATCCACTTTTAAACAAAGACACATTATTTAAAATTAGATCTCATTCTGCTAGAATACTAATGCAGTCACGTCAGGAAGCAGTGTCTGTAAGAAAAAAACTAACTTTTTTCAAGAGAAATACTGTTTTAGACGAATATTCATCTTTTGTGTCGAAAACCTCACTTTTAGAATGAAGATAACTGAAAGCCATAATGTTTACGAAAAATCCACATCGAATCACAATATCTAATTGTGACTTTCCTGTCAAGACGTTTTCTCATGAATGTCAATTTTTTCAGTAAAATTTATCAAAACTTTAATTATCTTTACTTCTCTTTTCATCTAATTGTAAAAATAAATGTGATACTTGAGCACATGTCCAGACCTATCAATGAAATATTTTTAGTTCCAATGATGCGAATGTTGCTTATAGCTAAAGAAAATAGATATAATTTCGGTGGCANATTACTATACGGGATCTCGTAAATATCTTAATAAAGATCTGAACAATAATAAAAGCTTTTTTTGTTTACACAACATGAAACAGAGGGCCGTTTCTCATGTTGTGAATGGATACAAAACCTACATGTAGTGAAAGATCTAGTTTCTAGTGTATATTTTTTAATTTAGATATATCACATGATTGTATTCAAATAGCCGGCAATGATCTGAAACTTCATGAAGAGATTGGAAGCGGAGCCTTTGGCACAGTATACAGAGCTACATGGCTAAGTAGACGTTATACAGTAGCTGTTAAAAAATTACATCTAACTCATTTGACTGATACAGCTGAGAAAGAGTTTTTCAAAGAACTTTCCCTAATGCACAGCATTCGTTGCCCATACATCATCAACTTTTATGCTGCATGCACAGAAACAGGAAAGTATGCACTGGTTATGGAATACATGTCATTAGGGTCATTGTACAAGATATTGCACGAAGATAATCTTGACTTATCATGGTCTGAACGGTTGTCGATAGCTTTTCAAGCAGCCAGTGGAATCAATTACTTACATCAATTACCGGAGCCTGTCTTACATCGTGATATAAAATCGTTGAACTTCTTGATAGAAAGAGCCTATGAAGGGTATACTGTTAAAGTATGTGGTTTTGGTTTGGCTAGAACACGAAATGAAACGACATGTCAAACAACATCAAATCCAAAATTGGTCTGCAAATTGCAATGGACTGCTCCTGAAATACTGTGTATGAAGAAGCACACTCATAAAAGCGATGTTTATAGTTTAGGAATTGTCTATTGGGAACTAGCTGCAGATGAGATACCTTACGCCGGGCACCAGGACGCTGTCATTTGTCAATTCGTGCTTCATGGCGATCGCTTGGAAATACCCAAGACTACTCCATCGAGATTTTCTTCATTGATCAAGAAGTGTTGGGCTCACGATCCTAATGATCGACCGAATTGTCCTCAACTGATCGAAATCATCGAAGAATGTATTACCAAGCAAAGTAATTTCGTTTTTGTTGGTCTGCTCTAAAGATGTAAAATGAATTGATACTTAGCTTGTAAAGATAGCAGAACTAGATAGATGCTTTCATTAATGTTCGGTTATAAGAGATATATCGAAATTGCTCGAATGAGACCAATGAACAAAAAAGATTGAGAGAATATGTATCTTCTACTGAAAGAAAAGCATTAATTGAAAAATGTGCTCCATCTTCATGCTGTTTTCGTTCCCTAGAATGATTTCGAGCTCATATCTTCTATCGAACAAAAAGGTGTATTTCTTGATGTGACTTGATGATAAATCTATGAAATAATGAGAATAGAATTCTTAAACGAGATAAATAATAATTATTACAACTTTCTATCAATAACTTCACAGATAATTATGTCATCTACTTGATTAAAAACCACCCAAACATAACATCAGAAAAGGTGGTCTGAGTTTTCTTGTTACCTACACCTTCAATGTGTGTCATATTCAACGTACATGAGATCAAGTAAAAAATAAAAGACACTCTATTGATACAGTAGTCTCAGAATCTATCCTATGTCAATTGTGGTCTTTATCGATTGATGAAGTCTTTCATGAGAAGCATTGGAACTAAATGTCTTATCTCATTAGAATTAGTAGACTTTGAGCTTCAAATGTATCTAATATAGCTTTTTCTTGATTTTGATTAATTATTCGGAATCTTGTTTTTAAAGTTTCAATAAAAAAATCATACAAAAATTTCAAAAATACGTCAGCGTTTCATAGTTCTTTTTTGCCATCATTGACCGTAAGAACAAAATAAATAGCACATTCGGTTGTAGCTGTAAGCATTTAGGTCTCCTCCTCCTGACAACAACCACACTCACCCGTGTGTATGTCCGCTTGTAAGTATAGGATGTGGGTGTTAGTCTTCTTTCCATACACATTTGCACCCACATCCACACCCCCACCCCACCCTTTTTGTAGCCACTATTAATCTGAGAAAAATTTTACTCAAGGAAAGTACTCAGACCATCATC